TATAAGGGGAAGCAGTATCCAATCACAGAGAAGCGCGCCTAACAAGCTGATAGGCTAGCGTCACGGGTAACTGGGCAGATATGACAATTTGGCGGGCTTGTTCAGGCCGGGAAGAACCCGGAAGCAGGAAATGGGCGCCATTCATAGGCGGCTTCCCACATCTCCCCCTTTTTTATTTATTAAAATAGGATGGTCTGTGGGTCCCTCCAAGGTGTCTATGACCTTGTTGTTGTTAGACACCTAGGAGTGGGCCTACCTTGTAGGCCGAGGCATGAGAGAATGTAGAGGTCTATACCCTGCTGTGCATCACCCTGTTTTGTGCATATCCTTGCGCCAGGACCATGCTCAAGGTGAGTGGTTCATTTTTTCGCAGGGCCAGGCTTTTGTGAACCGAACCTGGATGCATATAGACATTCATTCCTGCCTTCCCCCCAACCTTTGGGGCGGATGGCACTGCAGTACCCTTGGTCTCGCATCTCAATGCCAATAATTTGACTCCGGGAGGGATCCCTGGCCTTATAGGCCATATATATCTGAGTGGAGCCTGTCTTAGGTTGACTGGGAGGGCTTTTCCCGTCTTACCCGTCATTGGCTTGCCCACTCAGCTCTTATAGCTGATGTTCTGCAATGTGAAGGAGATATGCGGCGGCCTGCTGCCATTTGCATGGCTGCCATAGCTGTGATCTTAACCTGCTGCTGAGTTTGTATGAGGCGATCTAACAAGCATTTAATAACCACAAGCCCTACTAGGATAGCCATGGCAATTAGCATAATCAAGGACTGTTTGATTGATGGTGTAAACCCTGGGTGAGGCGGGCGAGGCCGCCGAAAAAGGTGCCAATGTGGGCGGGTGGTGCCAAGGACCCCAAAGATATTGTGGTGGTTCTGTGGAATCTGAGCATATCACAGGGGTGATTAATAGGAACCCACAGAATAGAAAAAGCTCCAAACCAGACATTTTAGTTTGTAGATGGTCTCCGGCGCTGAGCGTCGGTCCCAGAAGGGTCGAGTTGACTTGTGTCCGCGGGCTTATCTTCCTGTGCTTTATCAGGAACTGGTGGGGAGTTTACTGCTCGCGTCAATCTTTCCGGGACCCACAGCGGTTCGCAGCCTGGTTCCTGTGGGAAGACACAAACCGCACCTCGGGTCCAACTAACCACTGGATCCGGGCCCATCCATTGTCCTGTAAGGACATCTTTCCATCTCACCAGCCCTTTGTCGGCCGGGGACGGGTTATTGTGCTCCATGGCAGGGGAATGATTACTGTGATTAAGATTTAAAAAATTTATGGTAAAGAGTGCCAATGATATTCTTCCTTTGGGCGTTAGGCCGTGGCCACCCAATTCACGGCACAGGCGTGTCCACTCTTCTAAGGACCTATTTTTGTTAGTTCTTAGGACATCACGGCACTCCTTAGTGCACTGTTCAAAAATCAATTGTTTTATGAGAGGGTGAGCCGCCTCAGCATCTGGAAAAATCCTGTTAGCGGCCTCAAGCATGCGGGCCACAAAGTCTGAAAATGGCTCTCCCTGCCCTTGTATAATTTTTGTAAGGTGACCCGTATGTTCTCCCTTTCCAGCCAGCCGTCTCCAGGCCTGGAGGCCACAGCGGCTAATTTGTTCATAAACCTGGCGAGGGTATTGAGTTTGATCTTCCTCAAAGGCTCCTCGCCCTAATAGCATATCCCTGTTCCACTCTCTCTGGTTATTTTCCCTGTTGGCTGCCGCCTGCTCTACACAGAATTCCTCATTCCAGGACTTCCAATCTAAATATTGTCCGGGGGAGAGGCAGGCGCATGCCAGCTGGGTCCAATCTCCAGGAGTTAAAAGCAGACCTGCCAATGCCTCTAAAAGCGCCATGGTAAATGGTGCATTGGGCCCATAAGCTGAAACTGCGTCCTTGATAGCTTTAAGTTGTTTAATTTCTAAGGGCTCATAATATCCTCCTCCTCCCCTGCCTCCTACTTGTACCGGGAATGCATGGAGACCGGAACACTCAAAGGGAAGCCGCGACCATACCCTCTGGTGGAAGGAACGTCCTCCTCCCTCCCCAGATGGGGGCGCAGAAGGCAACCCAGGAAGTAGCTCTCCCTCTAACCAGGGCGGTGCCATAGGTTGTGGTGGCAGCCCAGGGAGCAACTCCTCTTCCGGCCACAGCGGTGCTATCTTCCCGAGCCCTGAATTCGCGAACTTGCCAAAGGGCAGAAGGGCTTAGTGGGGCCTGGCGCCCTGAAGGGGGTGATCGTGGGTGTTTGGTTCCCCTTTTTATCTTCCCGAGCCCTGAATTCCTCTTTAAGCTGTGCAGGAGGGTCCTGTTTAGCGAAGACAACCTCCTCTTCTGAACCTTCCGAATCAGAATCAGAATTAGAGCCCTGAGGGTCCTCCGGAGACCCACAATCGGCAGTGGCTCCGGGCTCCTCTGAGCATTCCGATCGAGCTCTATCAAAAGCCTGTCGGGCTGTATTAGCGAAGCGAAAGCAAAACAGAGGCAAAGGGAAAAAGAAAAAAAAAAAGACCGGCGTCCACCCGTGTGGCGCTCAAAATCTGTTAGGTGCGTCCACCCAACCCAGGTGACCCAGTACTCACCTGTCCCGGGAACCGCTGTATCTCACGTAGCTGATCAGGGTGAAGAGAAGAGGCGCTCGCGGCCTTCCGTTGTTATTGAGCCAGGTCCTCCGTCGTACCGCAGGTGACAGCAATCGCACCTCCCGGCCGAAGAGGCACGTCGCTGAGTCTTTTACCTTTTTCCCCGTACGGGCGGCCACCAGATGACCGGAGCCGCGGAAGACAGGAGGCCAAACTCGAGCAGGATCAGCTCTCAAACTTTATTACGTACAGCGAACCGGACCTGACAAGGTCCGCCACCCTCAGTGTTGCTTCCTCTTCCGCCGTTGGGGGCAGGAACAACCTCTTATAAGGGGAAGCAGTATCCAATCACAGAGAAGCGCGCCTAACAAGCTGATAGGCTAGCGTCACGGGTAACTGGGCAGATATGACAATTTGGCGGGCTTGTTCAGGCCGGGAAGAACCCGGAAGCAGGAAATGGGGGCCATTCATAGGCGGCTTCCCACATGCTAGGCACGGAACTGCTGCTAAGAAGACAAACCCAACCAACACTTTTGTGCAAAGCACATCCAAATGATGGATTGCATAATTCAGTCTTTCTCTTTGTTTACAGCTGTAAACACAGAGGGAGAAAATCCTCCTATTTTAGGCCTTCCAAGGAAAACTGAGCTAAATTTTTTCAGTATATTGGTCATTATTATCAATATTTTATTCCTCTATATCTTCCCATACATGAGCTCCTTAGGTTTACTGCTAACTTATCTCCTTTTCATTCAACCAGAAGCTGTGTTTCTCCAAGTATCACCTCAGTGAAGCAGAATTTAAAGATCATTTATTGGTAATCCAGTCTTGCCAAAATCAAATATCACACAACGATGATCAATTTTGGCTTTAAAAATTAATTTATAAAAGGCTGAAAGGCCGTATCTGTGGCCAGATAAATTCTCAGAGCACTAGATTTTGGCTGAATTTGTGTTATTGTATCACTGATCAGATGTTGGTATTACTAATATCAGTGATTAGGCTCCAGGACTGGAAATGATATTCTCTTAAAGGATAATCTGGAAGTAATGTAGCAGGATGGTAAAGTAGGAAGCTCTGGACCCTCTCTTCCCCCCAAATGCACTTTTATCAGTACCCCACAGACAAATATACTTTTGAGAAACCCAGAGAATACGAGAAAAACTCCTCTACTATTGCAGAATGTAAAGCCTGACATTTCAAACCCAGTAGGAGTTTCAGGATAATATTTGGATATGTATTTCTCTAGTAAAGCATCCCATGGCCAGAAAGAGACACTCTTAAGTCCCAGAGGCTCTCAATGGGGAAAAAGGACTGGTTAACACACTCAAACTTTTCTCAGAAAGTTCTCCAGAGGGATGGCTATCTTGCCTTCTCCTGAGCTCTGAAAAGACACAGCCTCTCCACCTGCGGGAGAATGGAGACAGAAACTTGAACTTTTGAGACCATAGATTCTCTCTTTGTTCAGTGTCAAATAAGATTTAAAAAACCCATTTTAAATACATCCTAAGAAAGAAAAATTTTATTCATCTCTCTAATATCCCACCTTCTCCAAAACAATCCAGAGATTCAGCACATGACTCCCTAGTCTTGGAGCTTCCTCAGGTCTGTCCAGTGAGTCCTCCTAAGAGGAGATGGAGATGACAGTTTGAGCCAGATGGTGGCACATATCCTCCGTAATGTTCAGCACAGAGCAAACAGGGTTTATGGTGAAATTTCAGGTCTTAGCTTTCACTTAGAAAGGAAAGAAGTGCATCTGAGCATCCAGCACCCAGTTTCTCTTGAGATTCCCAAATGACCAACATCTGATTTACAAGCCTTGAAGTTCTGAAGGATCCAATGCAGTCTACTCACCCAGGGGACAACAGAGAAGAGACAAAAGGTTGAACTCTTACACACAACAGCCCCTGCCTCCCTCTATACAGAGAAAACAGAGCAAAGTACCACTGGCTTCTTCTCTCTGGGAAAGGAAAGATTAGGAGAGACACCAGCATCTTGAAATATAATTGCAAGTGTGGATACAAAGGAAAATAAAACATTCGTAAATAAGGAGGGGAAGAGAAGTTTCAGAGAGAGGAAAGGAATGTAGAAAAATGAGGCACTAAGATACATCATGGACAGATACAGAAACCCTATGATGAATATTATCATTAAGTATATCTGAAACACATCAGTTAAACTAGTTGAACAACAGAATGGGCTCAAAAATTGTTTTCAGAACTTCTTTTGAATAAAAGACTTTTTATTCATCAGGTCACTAATTTTTTGAGTATTAATACTACACAGTATGATTCTCATATGGGCAAAAGCCAATTGATGAAAACTTCTTTATAAAAGATATACAAAATAAGATACTTACTGTCAGCACTATGAAGTTCTTAATTAATAGAAAACCACCATGGGTTGCTTCCTCAGAATACCGCTCAATGTTAGAGACATCGTCTACTGTACGGGAGTGTCACTGCTCGATGAGGATGTGTGGGAATTCATATGGATGAAATTCCACTCCACCACAGCAATCTCTGAAAAGAAGATATTATTGGAGGCCTTAACTTGCAGTGATGACAGGAATTTGTTAAATAGGTGAGTCAGTTAATTTTTTAAATTTGTTTCTTTAATGTAGATATTTTCTAATCAAACTATTCTGAAATTCCTTGTATTCCCTCAAGGAAATCTAAAGATAAAGAGGTCTTCCTTAGTAACACTACTAAACTCGCTTGATGATGAATACATTTATGACAAATTACTTTACATAATTTATGTATGTTTTTACGAAAATATTTCATTAAGAAACGATCTATTTACTGCAAAAAAATTTAAGGGGAATTTTCAATCTCAGAACAAACTTGTGAATTCCCTGTCCCGTAGAAGCTTTTAGAGTTAAATTAATGTATTTAATTAAAAAACTATAAATTTGACCCCCTAACAGAAATTTGTTCTATTAAAATTTCATGAGGAATGTTTGCACTGACCTATTCTTTCAAAGAGTGTAAGAAATAAGATTGTTTAATTTTGAAATTATAAAATATACTTGTTTTTGCCTAAGAATTTCTCCACAATTCTACCCTTACAGGCTTCTAAATCTGTCCCTGAATTCAGAGGTTGTGCTGGACCAAGATGCAATTGATGTCATAATTCATGTAGCTCGAAATCCACATGGCCGAGATCTTGCCTGGAAGTTTTTCCGAGATAAATGGAAGATATTAAATACCAGGTAGAAATAAGAATTCAGTCATTCATGTCTGAATGAATAAATTAAAACATACATATGAAGAAGTCCAAGTTTTATGTTATAGCTAAGATTCAAATAATACTGTAATATTTCTAAAATAGTCAAACAAGATGCATATTCCACTCTGAAATTCAGAATTATTTTGACAATTACATAGCATTATTCATGTGTTATACTTTGATAACCTTGATTAATTATATATGAACATGTAGAGAGTACAAAATATTTAGTAGAGTCACTTTCCTAAGAATTTCATTAAAATGTTCATTTGAGGAAATTTTATCCTAAGACTTCTCCATCCATGTCGTAGAAATCTATTTATAAATAAGATATAAGTAGTGTTAGAATAAGAAGCTGTACTTCTATATAATTGTTTTAAATTTCCTCTAAATATAAATATCATAAGACATAAATGAAGCCACGATACAGAGAAGAAACATTAATCATTTGAATCATTGTATGGTTTCAGTTGCAGTAGAATTCTTTTCCAAGATGTCTTGTTTCATGGGGAAAATTCTTCAGCCTCAATTTTATAAAATATTTCAATATGTATTTAAATATATTATAATAAGTGCTAATGTATTTCTCAAGTAATCTCTAGAGTATTTTAAAATTAAATTTCTTACAGAGTATGTAAATGCTGGATGTTCTTTTCAAACATAAATGTTCCCAGATGCTAAGCCAAATTATTATTCTGTCTTAAAAACTAATAAAAATATTATACTTAAGCACATTTTATCAGTAGCACTGGCATAGTGCTACTATATTTCAATTAGAAATAGTGTCATATTAAATGTATTTCTATCCACAGATGTACCAATATTCCTATAAAGAGCATTGATTTTTTTTTTTTTATATTTTAAGTTCAGAACTTGGAGTGATTGGAAGATTGGAAGATTGGAAGATCTAATCTTCCAATCACTTTATTCTCACTTTATTCTCATCCATATAATAGGCTGATAAGGTGAAATTGACATACATGAGCAGTTCACTTTCAAAACAATGTCAAATGCCTACCAATATGTACACAGCTCCATTGGTTTTATAGATCAGGGGTTCAGTGGAATTCATCTACATGTACACTGTTTATTGCCCACCGGAAATATTTAGTTTCTAGTATGATTAATTTGTTTCTCAGAGTTCATGATCTCTATGGAGAAGTTAGAAAGTATGAAGTTTCACTGTAGCTGCAAATACAATAGTATTTATCTTGACAAAAAGAGACTGTCTTCTTCATCTACTCCAATTCTTCTCTCAGTCCTTGTATGGTGAAGTCCTTTCCTAGATACTCTTTTCTTCTTTGCAAGGTTTTCCTTGTTTTAGTGTTCATTTACTCTTCTTGTTTCAGTCACTCCCAAATCTGTATTTGCCTCAAATATTTCATTTCAGTAACATTCTGTGGTAGACAAGTTCCCATTGCGATTCTTTATTGGAGTGTACCTGCAAGCTCAATCTATCATTATCTCCACACCTGGAAATCTATAGGAGCAACCCTCTTGCCTTGCCCTATGTAACAGTTAGTCCTGAGGCTTTTCAAATTTAACACTTCCAAAGTTTTTGTTGAGTTCCTCCTTTTTTTTTCCTGTTACCCCTTTCCCAGTGCAGGATTTTATCTCTTGCAATACTCTTACAATAGTCTTCTGTCTCCCTGACTTATAATTACACTCACGACTACACACACATATATTAACTTCTTGCAGTTGTTCTGAGAGTCTTTCTGAAAAGCAAGTGTAATTATTCCCTTGTTAAAAAAACTTCCCATAGTTCCATGCCATATTAAAATCTAAGCCCCTTAGAACTTTATCAGCCTCTCATTATTCTCTTTCTGGGCTAACAGTTATGAACTCATGCCTACTACTTACAACTATCAGTGCTTATAATTCCCTGCACACACCTAAAATTATTTTCTCAGAATTTCCCGTACTCAGTCTAGATGTGTCATTTCCTTGAAACCATTCCCAAAACCTTGCAGGTACATACCAGCTCTGAATCCTGCATGGAACTTTATCAATGCCGCATTTAGTTATGTTAAGTGGGACTTACCTGTTTATATGTTTAACTAGTCAACTAGATAATAAAACTCTTTCAAGAAAGATATTATGCCTTATTTATCTTTTCTGAGAGCATAATGAAAAACAGTTGACATTCCATTAGAAAAAATAATTATTTTCATTAATGGATAGTGGGCTAATTCTGTAACCACATACTGATTATGTATGGTCACTGATATTGTTATTGAGTGCTTATTTGTTTTTAGCTCTTTCCATAAATAATAGAATGAGAAGAAATTATATCAGTCATCTACTTATACCCCACATTTTACAGAATAAAAAGCCAAGTTCTTCAAAAGCTAAGTTACTTATCATGCCCTATATTAGAGAAGCATTAGGAAACATCTTGTAAAGGTGGTTTAACCTTTGCTTCCAAAATCTCAGTCTTATTATTGTATAATTATCTTGTTTCTTAAAGTATGATAGCAATATGATGCAGTAGTGTTCTTGAGAGAAATTCTTAGCATAAAAGAGACAAATTGGTAAGAGAACTCTTTCTACTCACCAATTCATATCATTCACTGTCTTCAATCATAAATGAAGTAAGTGTGTGATAATACAAGATTTATGCAATCCAAATGAAAAACTAGATATTCTTGGTCAGTAGAACTATTGATTTATAGAAATATTTCTTAAATAATTACCTGTAATAATGACTGAGGCTTTTTCTTTAATCTTTTGAGGTATGGAGAAGCATTATTTATGAATTCCAAACTTATCAGTGGAGTTACAGAGTTTCTTAATACTGAAGGTGAACTCAAAGAGGTAAATATGTTGATATGCATTCTAATTATTTCCTTTTATAAATATATGTAAGTATACATTTACTTAAATTATTTCTTTCCATTTGATTCCATCAGATTCATACTAATCCCTTTTAGACACACGCCACGCCACACACACACACACACACACACACACACACACACACTACCACCACCACCACTACCATCACCACATCTATGTAAAAGAGTTTTCTCAATTCATTGTTTGCAAAGTATTTCTAATATATTGAGAACTGAATATCTTAAAAGTGTTTGAATGCAATCATTTCCAAAGCTGGCAGCCAAAAATCCACCCCATTTCCATTAACTCTAAGTGAGATGAATGTAGGATGGAGAGAATTATGAAGTAGGATAGAAATACAGGATTTAGATTATTTTAATTGACTATAATTGGTTGAGCTTCAAAGACCGATTGCCTTTCCTTTGTTGCCCTTCTCCATTATAAAATACAGCTGCTATTTATTATTGAAAATCATGTTTTACTTGGTTCTCAGTGATAGAAACCCTTTTGCTGTAACTCAGAGTTAATCCCATCAATCCTCGTTCCCTGAAGCATCAAGCCTGGCCTCACTATCTTCTAATAATGCCCAGTTTCCTGAGATGATCCCCCATGTGCTAACTTGGGGGATGCTGTCACACTGTAAGCTAAAGTAAGCCACAGCTCTGATTGTAGTGATTTGAAATTCAGTATTTATCCTTGCTATGTGTGTTCCCAAGCCTGAAGGATTTGGTTGGAAATTTCAGGGCATTTTTTTTTTTTCTTTGCTATTTTTTGCAAATAGAAAAAGCTAAATGGAAAGGGCTTTTTCATAACCACGATGAACAGAAGAAAGAATCATTTAAATTGACGATTGCTTCTAATTTTCTTGGTATTTAAATACAGTACTTTCAATGTCTTGATATTTATATTCAATGCTTTGGGAACAAAAGTCTTGCTTAGTCACACCCTGAGCAGATCAAGTGAACAGAAGTGAAAATTCTCTCTCCCTTCCCCCCTTGCCTTACTCCCTTCCTTCTTCTCTTTTCTCTCCTCTCTTCTTCCCTTCTGTCCTCTTTCCTCATACCTCTTTCCTATCCTTTCTCCCTTTTCATGCCTTTTCTGTTTGCTTTTCATATTTTCCTTGACTTGAAAATACCCGTCATGAAAAACTTTTAAATCAACATTTAATTGATTTAATCACATACTATTTTGTTTTACATTTTATCTATACAACTTTAATCTTTTATTTAATTGTCATTTTAGATGTCCCAAGGTGCCTCCATCATGAAGGTATAATTTCAAAACTAAAGCTAAACTGTGTCTTTGTTTCATTGTCTTCAAAGCAGCTAGCGTCACAATGCAAGCTCTCAGTGGAATCAGTGATAAATCCCTTCACAACAGAGTGACTTGCTATGGCTTTCTAGCTTAACTACTTTTGCCAGAGGCATTTTCATGCTTTCATCATCTAACCTTATTCTCTATAGGGTTGGGGACAATATATTCAAATAAATAGGGTGGTTGCATTAATTTGTAATGATCATAACTTCCCTTCCTGAAACAAAGCACAAAGGAAAATCTAGTGCTGGTTCCCCAAACCATGGACAGAAAGTCCAGTCCCAGTTCCCCATAAACCTAAACAGGAAATCCAAAGTACTTGTTTGGGGTACAGCATATTCTTTTTTTCCAGAGGTCACAAATTAAAATGAAATTGGAAGATTTATGAATTCTGAAAACTCATTTGCTATTTCAATGATCTTCATTAGCATTAGTGACATGTAGAAGAGATAAACTCATATTGTTCTGTATTCACTTCCCCAAACCTGCTTTCTTCTACCTGAAACTGAATTTCTTTTCATTGAAGGGCTCTAACAGCTTGAACAATATTTGCTCATGAAGCAATCCATCATTTACTTAATTTTACTAAATGCAGGTCTGACCTCATGGGACCTCAGAGGCCCTGGCCAGCTTCCATTCTCATGTCAGTTAAGCAGTTCTCTCATGCACCTATTTCTGGGACATGTGAATAATAGCAGAATATACAACACTGCTGTAGGATCAAATGGGTCCTGTGCAGCACAGGCATCCCATTTACATTTTTAATGTTGAAGACTCATTCCTCATGTTTGATAATAGCCAATTTTTTTATTTCACAAAGTGTACTGTGTTTTGCAGTTTACTCTAAAAAATTTTACGATGTTGGGGTCTAGAGTATACTGAAATAAGAGATTTTTTAAAAAATACTGAAACATTTTTAATCAATTAAACATGTACAACTCTTACGTTAAAACTAGAGTGCACAAACAACACCAATATTTTACTAAATGTTACTTTACAAGAACGTCTAAGTGTTCAAGGTTTTAAACAATAAATGCAAAAATGTAGCATAAATATCTTGGAAGCAATAATTATTTTTAAATTGAACGGCAGTAGAAAACCTACAAAAGATTGAAAAACGAAAGCAAACAGGAATGCTAAATGCATTCCATCTACCCCAAGCCCTAAGCAGGGGTTGCAAGGCGCTGTAAAAATGCTCTAGAAGTGCTTCGATGGCTGCGAGAACCACATGTTCACTGAGAGAGCCATAGAGGAATATGAGCTATCACATCAATTTATGGCAACCCTGCAATGTGGGCCAGATGTGTTCTGATGGATAAGCTGCTCTTAAGATGCATGAGTCACCTCAGGCTCTCGGAGCTTACTAGGGAAGTGTTTAATGCCCTTAAATAATGATTTAAGAAATGAATCTCTAGAGACCAACCAGTTACATTGTCTATGAGAGCTCATTTGCAAGATAATCTGACCTACTATCCTTGTGACAATAATATGCTCATATTCAAACTCAGAGGTTGCCTTTAAGGAAGATTTAAGACTTTTATTTCATGTGTTCAGGCTGGCTTCACAAAGAGGCCAAGAGCATGCTCCATGGAGTTAAAGTTGCCAAAGGGGTATTTATCACTATCTGGAATATTTAGTGAATGTCTACAAAAAATGCAATGCAGAACATATTTTTAAAAGAAGAGGTATATTTTTGATTGGCATACAGTGTAGCAAATAATGACACCTAATGTCATGTTTCTGTAATGAAGCAAAAATCAAAATATAGAAAAATACATCGTTTTTGGCTTTATAAATATAGCCTGAAAAAGTCATAACATGAATATGGCAATACAAATGCATTGTTGTGTAATTAGTTAATTTTTGATTTATGATTTAAGTACCTTCTAGACTTCCTTGTTGGTATTGGGAGGTCAGTGCCTCGTGTATTGGGATATAAAATGCATTCCTACCTTTTCTTTTTCTTTTTTTAATCTTTTTTCTTAATATGTGTACATTTTGTCGAAGGTCAGATCAGTTTTTAGGACAAACAATGAAAACTGTTTGTTATACATTGTGTATTTTGCATGTTTGTGATAAAAGTACAATGATTTTGGAGATTATCAGTTGCTAATGTTGCCAGATACAGGGTTTTCTAAGAAAGTAGATGAAAAACTTGAAGAAAATTTGTCAGTACCATGTAATCAGAGAAACACTGTCACAAGCAAACAAAGCTATCCCTGAACTACATTGTAAATTAATTTAGAAAGGCATAATTAAACACTTTAATACCCTTTACCCCCTCTCCCTGCTCCTGAGCTTATCTTGATGCACTACATTTCTTTCCTGGCATATCTTCCATGTGGCGCCCACCATGTGATGAATCACATCCCACACTAATTACACCGCATAATGTTTCCTTTTTGCAAGTTGATTTTTCACATTTGTCTATTAGCATTGCAATTGCTGGTTGGTTGCCAGTTTCTTAAGACACATGAGCAGAAAGAAAAAGTGCTAGTATTTACTCCTGGGAGGGGAATGCTTGAATGTTCCTAGATTCTGTGAACTCTTCATATAAAATCTCATGTCAATAAAAATTATGACAAAGCACTTAAAATTGTAACTTAAATGTTCAGATTCTCTAGCTAAAGAGGCCCATATTTCTCCTTCATTCTTTCTAAATCTAGTTACTCGGATGATTGCAATGTCATTAATCATCTGATTTTCATAGGCCTATTACTTTTTTCCAATGCCCAATAAATTTGTTAATCCCTTGACATCAATGATAGTGCCAAACTCTATATTATTTACTTGTAGAAGATGAAGAATAATTTTCTCTTTAAAACCAAAAAGTGAACTTTAAATTTTATATTCACTTTTAAAAGCTATTTCATACATTATGTATGCCCTACAGTTTTAACTGGTCTGTGTCACAATAGCATCCAACTATTTTGGAGGATAAATTTTTTTTAATCACTAGTCATAAAAAAGAAGCTAAGTATAGACCCATTTCAAATGTGATGTTCACTCTTTTTGGAGAGGGGATCTTTTCATTTCAAATGGTAATATACCTAATTTTTATTGCTTGTTATATTATATCTACTCTACTGAAATCAAACTAGGCCCATTTTCCCTACTAAATAATATGCCAATCTCTGGAATGATGAGTTGTACAAAGAAGAAAATTTCTTCATGAGGCTGCAAGTGAACATGCTGGGGCAACCGACTCTCAGATTTTCCGTGTGTTAATGTGATAAAAAAAAATGGAATGAGTTACAATGTAGGAAAAGGTGTCTGAATCTGAAATAATCAGTTGAGTGTGATCAACCGTCTTAGCTCTTAGGATTCTTCTTAAGATGTATGTACAGAAAAACGCAGTACTATCATGATGTGATGGTGGAATTTTTGGTTTTTGGATATGAAGGAGTCACTCATTAATATGTTTTATCCCAGGTAAAGAGTAGGTGGTTTGAACAAGTATCCTTCAAGTCTCTGAAATGTAATGTAGACCTAAAGACTTACACATCGGAAGTGCTATCTATAGCAACATGGGTAGGAGACTAATAATACATGTATTGCTCTGCTAGGAGAAAAATAAAGAAACAATAGAGAAAAAGCTCTCTTGAGACAGGAAGAGATCCAGGGGACCAAAGACAAGGGGCTAGGGAAGGGGATTAGGAAATATATAAAGTAATGATACGCCAGGTACAGGATCCTAACAAACTCAATGAATGTGGACATTTTAAGCTATAAATGTGAACTAAAGTTATATCAATAAGAAAAAAATGAGAAAGAAAATTAGAAGAAGAAAAGGGGAGGGAGAGGGAAGAGGATTAAAAAAAGGAACAAGCTATGTTATGTACAAGAGTCAATTCCCCAAGGTGATTGCAAAATGCATGTACTGCAAATATGTACTAGTAAATTTTAAAAAGTTAACTAAAGCAAGTAACTTAAGAGCTAAAGAATTTGTTCAGCTTTACAGTTGGGCAGTTTGTTTCAAATAGATTCTTACACATATTGCACATGAGCTCATTTTAAGACATGCAAATTTATCATTTTAAATTTCTATTTCTAGCTAAAGAACTTCATGAAGAACTATGATGGGGTGGCTGCTGCATCTTTCACACGAGCTGTAGAAACCGTTGAAGCCAATGTGCGCTGGAAAATGCTCTATCAAGAAGAGCTCTTCCAGTGGTTGAGGAAAGCTCTAAGGCACTAATATATGTCTTTTGTAAACATTTAAACTCAGAATTTTGTGAGAGGATCTGCTTTATGTGGAAGGAGGAAAATGGCCAGATTTTCAGTATTAACATGTGGGAGGAATTCTGTTTCAGTTTTGTCCTTTGTTTTTGGGTTTTGGAGATTTTTTTCTTGTATTTGTTTCAGTCATTCTGTTTTGTTTTTCTGCTCCCTGTTGTCTAAAAAACCCTTTCAAGTGAAGGGTTGTGGTTGCTTCAGCTGTACATTCCTTGCTGTATAGGACCAAATAGTGGTGCATGTCAATGTTGCAGTCAATTTGAAAAAACGTATTCAGAATATTCTGTGCATGGATGTATGGTCCTGCCTGTGTTCAGCATGCTTATTGAAAATGCTCAATGTTTTATGTGAATATATGTTACATCCAAGATGGGCATTATGCAAAAGCACAACAGTTTTTGATGACAATCAGTGTTCCAATGAAAGAAAAACTGGAAAAGAATTTATTCTCAGTCTAGGACGATGGAGGGGTAAATTAGCTTTCTAAGTGATCATTGTTATTTATTTAGGCCCTTGGATTGTCCAACAATGATTACTGCATTGATAACTCACTTTCTTTGAGTTAAAACTGTGTATACATTTAAAAGGCATATAGATAGTGTATACATATGTACATAGGGACTGCCATATGTAAATAGGATGCTATACACTGCACATGTGCTGAAAATCTCTTCAGATCAAAGAAAATTTATCTCTTTTTATAAATGAATGGACATTTTCAAAAGGTTTAAAATAGTTTATCTCAACATTATCCTCTAACTCCTAAATTCTTATCTACTTACCTTATTTTTCATCTACTTTCCAACTGACTGTAGTTCATGATGAATTTTAACAAAATTTATTTGTAAACAACCATTCTTCAAATTCTTCTGAGTCAATGGCAACTTTGCATATATATTCGGTCATCGTTTGGGTCAAATTTCACATTGCATAAAGCAGTTGTGTAAATGTATGATTATTAGTACTTAGAAAGTTTATTTTTCATCGTGTTTGTCCACCCTGTATTCGGTGGTACAGAGTTAAACATTCTTTTGTGTGTTGGTCTTTGTGTCTGTGTTATTCTAGTCCTGCATTCAGCAACCATACCTCAGTGGGTCTGTTACTACTTAAAGAACTTTTGTGCCAGTTGTGCCATCCCTTAAAAAGTTACTTTTGTTAATCTACAAAGTCTTTCTTTTGGCATTCACAACTTTATTCTACCTAGGAATTGTACATAGCTATTTTCATGGTTATGTTATGTGACATGAGAATTTTACAAGGATATTTTCATTTTGTAGGCCAGGTCTCCAGTCATACTTGGATATAGTCTAAGCTACTGTTATAAACAGTGCAACGATGATTCTTAAACTATGTTTATGGACCACTATTTTCTGGAGTTGTTTCACGCTATAATTCTTGCAAATCACTGAAAGGAATGTATTTGAGAGATATGTCACTCAATACTGAAGAAAACTAGGATGAAACTAGAGCCATAGAATTATTTGATTTTGATACAAAAAGAGCAATTTCTTAATTATTGAATTTATAAGTACCACCGCCAAATAAGTTTTAACATTTAAGCAATGAGTACATATTGCTCACACTTTCAATGCTTTTCATTTATGTATTTTCATACATAAATTTTAATGTTTTCTGTGGTGTTAATCAAGCATATTAATGCTTAGTATAAAATGTAGAGGTTATGCCACCCATCAAAAGTGATGAAATACAATTACTATGTATCATAGTTACACGGTCTTTAAGGGCAAGTTCTACTACATAACAATAGCAAGTACCATACTACTGTGCACGTCCCAGATAGTCACTGTTTCACTGCCCATGTAATAGAGGATAAAAAGTTAGATGTGGACGTCTTGTTTTGTGTCTTAAATTATTAATATTCTTAGCAGTTACAACTTTTTAGTGAAATTACTATTTCTAATTTTGTGTTAGATAAACGTTTCTAGTTCTGATCCTCCCTACTGTTAATAATCTTAATCTTCTTCAGTATTTTAGTGGCCTTGAACAACTGGTTTAGCTCCAATTCAAATCCTAAGTGTGTAATCATGTGCAATGTTCAATACCTCATATAGTACTTGTTCAACAGTATAGTGACACCAATGGCATTGAAATGACATTTTTGTTCTACATATTTTTCAATAATTTATCATTTCTGATGTTGAAATTTAAGATTTTTAGTTGTTTGAATAAGTAATATTTTCAAAATAATAAAAGAGCCAATGATATCTCTTGGAATATTCTGTAAAATGTAGTTATAAAATTATATTTTCTACTTAGAGTTTTTATCTTTCCTCTCTTCTTTGTCTATTTTACAAATCATATATGTGCATGAAGTAACAAATGAAATTGTCCGACATTTAGTCTTAAAAATTTACTGTGCCAGTGTATGTATGACAACAAACCATTGTTTCAATTAGAAAAGACCTAGTTATCTACCACCCTGAATATTAACTGTCTCCAGATGACTTATAAATAAAAAAGATTTGACATTTTTACATTTTTCCTTAAAATGTCCCTATAATCTTTGAAATTTTGAAAATTTCGTCTTTTAAGGCTAATGTACATTGCTAGCTCTATTAGAATTTAAGTAACGTACTTTTCTCAAGGCCTTAAGTTCACTTCAGTTTATCTTATATCCAAAATAGTTATATCATGGAACTGAGACTTTTATGGTAAACAATTACAAATATTATCATGGTAATATCATACATGGTTATTAAGTTTGTCCCGTGTATTTATAAAATGCATATCATTTTCCAAGAACTGTTACACATGCTGTGTTATTTTGTTGTTGGCTCCCCACAAAAACATCATCCATTTGGCTCCATAGCCTGAAGATGAAACTGAAGCTTAGAGCAGCAACATGAACTATTTAGAATTGTAATTATTTTGGGAGTGGATGTAATCACTTAGGTTTCTCAGTATAGATTTCCATTATAAATACATGTTCAACATACCTCTCTCCACCATTAATTGGAGATCTTGCAAATACTATTCCAGCACCAAAATACATAATTAAATATATCTGCAATAATTATATTTTTAAAGACTGTTTGATTTGTGGTATTCTAAAAGGACTATATAAAAATGTTTAATCAGTATTTTCTTCAGTCAATGTAAGTAGTCAAATATTGGAAGAAATAATATAGTTAATTGGAGTTATTTTGCTTTTTAAAAAAATCTCTTGTTGAGTGTTGTTTAAATATAACTTTAAAACACTGATAATTTGTTTTCCTTTCAACGGAAACTTCCCTGATCACACTAACAGTAGTAACAGATGGTCCAAATGCAGATAAAACACTATCCATCTAAATCATTGAAAATAATATCAGTAAAATGTTAATAAGTCTATGTAGACTCTATTGTGAAAAAACATTGTTATGCAACTATTGTGCTAAATTAGATGCCATAAAGGGATTCCATAAGATGTTCATACAATACATTTAATTTAAATCTATTATCAATTGCAATTTTAAGTGATTCTCTTTTAAGAAGTTGGAGAAACTTAAAGTAGCTGGTGTCCTGAGAACACCAATGAAGTAATCACAATACTTATGAAAGAAGTCCTAAAAGCACATATAATTAGAAATTCAGATTTTCTCACCTGAGTTTTCTTTTATCACAGGTCATACTCAAATAATCATTTTATAGTGGTGTTTATATGCTGATATAATTCAATTTAAATATTTACTGACTGCTTTTTATTAAGCTGGGCACTTAATAAGGTACAGAAAATGAGATAAAGGAATTCACATATAAAAAAGAAAACCAAAGAAATTATGAAGAAGCAAGAATAGTGACAATATGAAAAATAATTACATACTATAAAAATGGTGAATCATTTTGGGTACAGATAATTTCAAATATTTTGTACAATAGTTCTCAAACTTTAGTATAATTTTTGTTTGACTTCACAATTTTTGTGTTTGGTGGACATATGTAACAATTTGAAATTTTAATAAAATCCTACAGTTAAAATGACAATATCTGAAACAGAAATTGATATAGAATTTATTCTTGAGTAAAGTTGTATAAGTAATTTAGCAATATTGCCTAATGAATTACAGAGAAAATGCTTAATCTCCTTATAAAAATATAGTTCAAGTTTCCATAAATGGGTTTAGGATATTTGCATATTTAACATTTGTTAATTGCATGTTAGTCATACATTCTTTATAGCAGGCTCAACAGTACTTATCTATCTTTGAAAATAATATATTTCTGCAAATTAGCATAGATGCACTTGATTACAAAATGTTCTTGTAAAGTATTCTACAATTTCAGATTTTAGTCATACATATATAGCATTCAATTCATTTGCTATTAATTAATGGAGTTTATAAAATAAATATTTTTAATGTGACATAAATTGAGAAAAAATCTAACAATGTAATAGCTTTTATTTTTGGTTTTATTTTATGAAATTTTATTTTGCAGTTTAGAAACAGAAAGTTTTAAAACTATCTTAAATACTCATAGGAAAGGTATTGAAAATATTCTCCAAAGCAACCTCATTATGGTTTAAATTAGTAATTAGTCTGCCTCCAGCCTTCATGAAAACATATTTATCCCTACAGACCCATCTTTGTATCATCTTACTTCACTTTCTCATTGTGATTGGCTTATTTGAAAGAATTGTTAATTATTACATTTACCACTCATTTCTTAACAAGCTAACCTCATAGTATCTATAAAAAGTTTTCACAGGGACTATTTTACATGCATGTGTTTGTGTAGTGGATTTTTTTTTTTTTTTGTCTTTTTCCTTTTTATGGGTATTGGGGATCGAACTCACGACTGCCTGCTTTCAAGGCAGGCGCTTATACCGCTGAGCTAAACCCCCAGCCCCTATGTAGTGGATTTTAAATTATAACAAAAATTTAACAGATACAACAACCAATGAGCCATGAAAAATAAGTGAAAACATAGAAAGATTACACAGCTCTTCACCAGTGAACCACAAAGATGAGATTACACCTAGGTCTCTGCATGTACAAGAGACAAATTTGTCTAATCAGGACTTTCCTTGCATTGAGAAGGGAAAAGAAGTGTTTCTCTTTTTCTGCTTATAAATAGCTGGATTACAATTGCTTAATTTACTCGCAGCTACATTCTCAGTGGACCTGCTGCATGTAGATAACCAAGATAACTAAGTTGATAAGTTAACTAAGATAACTACTTTGACTTACTCCTGCACAGGTCAACTTGCTTGTAATGGTGCACATTTTTCTTATGTCATCTAAGTAAATGAATAAGCCATTTTGTAGAAAATATTACAGTGGAGTTAAAAACATTTAACTTGAAAGTACCGTGCATTTGCTTTCTAAGTTAATCATTCAGTAGCTCATATTACTGTTCCTGTAGATTCACACTGTTGTTTTTACTTTTAGGCACAACTCTGTCCTCACCTTCACATAGCTTATGACCTACTGGTTGAGACACTCATTAATGTTTTGATATTAACTTCATTTAAAAATGGTTTATTAGCTGTTATTTCTGAAATGCAAAACATTTTAAAAATAATTTCTCTGCAATGTTGGATTCTGGTTTTTAAAACAGTATTTAATAGCAGATTCACATAATTATTTAAATGCTACCTGTACATTGCCATATGAGAATATGTTTGCTACTTTGCATTGCAATGATTTGTCCCTTTTGCCTTTTAGTAATCTTTGAAAATATTAGGACTATAAAACTAAAATAGACTAGCGCTATGATAATGTATTTTTCAGTTACTTGAACAATGAGAAAATTTATCTTTAAATTTTCATATTTGACTTTTTTACAACATTGAAGTCAATAGATACTATTTCAAAAATACTATGCAGATATCTAATGAACTTGATTTTATTCAGTAACAATGTTTATTTTCTTAAATCTATTTTTCAACTCAACTCATGTATTTAAAACATGCCACAGGAAGCATTTTTCCCCTTTCTAATATTTTTGATTGGAGAATTTTAAAAAACTGCTCTTTTAGTAAACACAAATGCTTTAGTAAGTACTAAAAACTCTAGTAAGTACTAAAGCATTCATTAAATATATACCCTAGAGGGTAGGGATTTAGCTCAGTGGCATCAGCACCTTCCTGGCAAGCACAAAGTTGTGAATTTGCTTCCGAGTGCCAAACAAACAAACAAACAAAAAACCCCAAAAAATAACTAAATAAATAACTTTGTTTTAGTTTAGTTAATGAATGTTTTCTATGGTATAGTATATATTTCAAATTACTCAGGAAAAATTAAATCAGTATATATTCAACTTGAAATTTTTATTTCATTTTGACAAAATGCTAACATAATAGGTTTTTCTACATGAGAAAATTTGTCTTCTGTATTTTAAATAGAACACATTTGAATTTTGCCTATGATAAAATTTAGTACAGTAATGTGTAATTCCTCACTGTCTTAATTTCTTAACATGCAGATGAGACTAAGATAAACAATAACTTCCACCTTTTTAATTACATGTCTGTTTTCACTTGAGAATCCATTTAACATATTTTGCATAAACACACTGTAGAAATCCATGAAAACAGAAAAAATTCACTCATTTCTGATATGGGCTTTTAAAAAAATACAAATGGTAAAGCTAAAATAAAGAAGTATGTATTTGTGCTATATTGTAGGAAAAAATATCAATTCAGCCTACTTCCTAATTATATGTCTTTAGAATAAATGAAATGATCTGTACTTTGGTAAAAGTGATTTCACCTGAAATGCATTTCAGATTGCTTTTTAATAGGTTTTCTGCATTTGACAGACTGTCAGGCTTCCTGAATTTCAAGAACAGTTTTCAGTAACAACAGAACGATAAAATATATATAATCATGGCTCATAAGTAGTACTCAAATGTATTTTTCAATGCCTCTGGGTTTTTTTTCTTTCTAAGAATTGGTCAGAGAACATTAGAAGTAACTGCATAGCTGTGCATTTGAGTTTTATGAGAAATACTTTATACAGTCATAGGTAATACTTTTATGCTATGAGCATTAATGCAAGAAATGTAGGACTTCCAAGAAAGCATTCAGAGTACTCTTCCTAGAGGATAAAGTCCATATATATGTATATATATATTTCCAGTAATATGTATGTTATATAGTATTCATATAATACAGTTTTCCATGTATGTTAATTATATATATTCATATATATATACACATATATTCAGGAATGTACAGATATATATCTTTTTTCATTGCTCAATGATACTTATTGAAAAACTATCATGTAAATTAGAAAGTAGTGCAAAATGTTGGCGTATGGAGTATGGGTACCATCTTTATACGCAGTAACTGTCAAACAATTGCTTAATTACATTGGCATGCTAGCAAGGATTCCAACAATCTAGAGGGAACCTATTTAGAAGCAATTTGAACCTGGTACCCAACTCCTGAGTGATTCTAATATTCCAATTTCCATGTGGAACACAAGATTTGTAAGTGAATCTGTCTTGAGCAATCCATCCATAATACACTTAAGAAAAATTGGCTAGAACAATGATTCGTATC